CAACAAATATCCATTGGCAGGCCTTACCCGGGGTCCTGGGAATATGGCAGCCAACAAAAGAAAGTCCCTATTCTCATGTATCTTAGCTAATAGGGAGTGAGAGACAATAAACATACAACTACATAGAATGTCAGACGGTAAAACATGCTATGGAGAACAAAGGAACAAGTGAAAAGCATAGGGAATGGGACATAGGGAAGATGGAGGAGGGAGGACATACTACTGTGCTGCACACTGTCTCATTTTTAGGGCTGATTCCAAACGCCACAGTGGGTCGTACAGCATAATGGTTATAAGCCCAGTTTCTGGAATTACAGAGATCTGGATTTGACTCTAGATTCTCCCACTGACAAGTGACATGACCTTCAAACAAGTTATCTCTGAGCCTCAGTCTCCTTATCTATAAAATAAGGATAATGACGCTTCCTAGGATTGTTGGGAGGGTTACATCAAATGACATGATCCACATAAAGCACCAAGCACAGTGCCTGGCACAAAGCAGATGCTCTGAATTTATTATTTGCCTTCTTCATTGACCTCCTACATGGATATTTAATTTCATGTAAAATACCACGATGATGACTGCCACCATAGAAAAGCCATTAAAAAACACCCCCCAACCCCGCCAGAAAAAAACCACCCTAGCTTGGCAATAGAGAATCCACCGGTGCTGGGTACAGGAAATTGGCCAGGTAACTTGTTAAACCTATGCTATTGCTTCCTTCTAGAAACAAAAATAGAAGGCCCTTGAGACACATATGGCAATAGCTTTTATTTTTGTTTTTGTTTTTGTTTTTTTTCCTGCATGGAATTAATGTGAGAGGGAAGACAAGCCCTGTTATGGGATGAAGCAGCAGGACCAGAAGTGGATCTAAGCTGTCCGGCAAGTTCAGAACTGGACGACACAGCTCTTCAACTCTGCAGGCGGGGTTGGGGGTTACGGAGCCAGCAACTGCTCGGGTAGGGTTTGTCCCGTGGCTCTACCCTTTGCCGTTTTGCAGGTTTCTGCACCAGAGGAGAGGCCTCAGGTGGCTAGAATGGCCCTGCTCTGTATGTCTTGCAGAGGGGAGGGTGCGTCTTCGGCACCAGACGAGGTTTTAGAGGTCGGAGGTTGGTACCCTCAGCCGTGCCCTGCTGGTCTCCTCTGTGCCCGAGAGGGGGCTGGGGCAGCTGCGGACCAAAGGAGCCATAGCAGGGTGTGGATCCAAGTCCATTTTGTCAGCTGCTACCTGAGTGCTCGAAATCCCCATGTGGGACTCTCATAAGGGCCTGAGCTGGAGCGTCTAGGAAGTTGGACGCTTGAGGCCTAACCTGAGATGGGCCCCTCCTGCAGGGTGTGGTCAGGAGGCAGAAACCACAGAGAGATGTGACTAGAAAAGGGAAGAGGAAGAGCCTGTAATTGGGTAATTGGGTATCAGACTGTTCCCAGGCAACAGAAAGGTCTCTGAGGGAACGCTAAGGCAGATGGAGGTAGGAATTACAAAAATCTAGAAGCTTGGAGGAGGCTTCCTGCAGAACTGAAACTCAGACCTCTGACCATGAGGCTGCCCAGCTGGTGCTGGCGTCTCTGAAGGGCAGCCCTGAGGTTGCTTGTGCATGTGCGGCGTCCCTGCAGTTGGGATCCGGTTGTTGCTACAAGCAGAGACTGGTGTGGGGGTCCAGGGGTGGGGGTTGCTGGGGCAGCTTAGGCGACACCAAGAGGAACGGGAGGCAGACAGGAAGGAGGGTGTCTCTTTTCCCTCCTCCAGCAGCACCATCTCCCTCTACCGCCACCCCCCTTGGCAGAGCCAAGCAGAGAGCACCCCGCTGATCAGAAATGTGGCCTGCAGAGCCCCAGTCTCAGCATCGGGGAAGTGGGGGGTGATTGCTGACACGTGATGGCTTAGTAAGTGGCTTTCATGGCGCCATAAGCTCCAGTAGAGGAAGGCAAGCCGTAACGGGCATGGTGGCTTTCTGAGCCAGGAAGCGGGGGGCTCAGCTTCCTGCCTTTGGAGCAGAAGAGGAAATGCAGGAGCCAGGGAACTGAGCATGGCCATCTGCCTTCCACACCTACTAGTGGAACACAGCCCCGGAAAGCACTGTGGGCTTACCAAGTAGGATCGCAACTCCTCCCCGCGGGAGTGGGGCGAGATCCCAGCAAGGGACTGGACTGACGCCAGGCCAAGAGAGGACAGGGGGCTTCCATCACCCACCTGCCCGCGTGGGGGAGGAGTAGAAGTGGTAATGTATGTATCATGTGTAGCTTAGTGCCAGGTGCATAGAGGCATTCCATAAAGGCTGGCTCTTACTATTCAAAGAAAGGAGAGGCACACAGAGATTAGGGAAAGATGTAACCGGCTATGGTGGAGAGAGCCCAGAGTAGGGACTCAGAAGACCCGAATCCATACTAGGACTGGAGCAAGACACTTGCCTCTCTGAACCTCAAGTTTCCTTGTGTGTAACATAGAGATGATACTTGTAGGGGCTAAATCTCTCCTAGCAGCCCCTTTGCATGTGGTAGCTATTTCGTTCCATTATTAATGATAGAAATAGTGCATAGTAAGCCTGATTATTTCTTATCGGCGGTGCCGACCCTGAGTAGAAGTGCCTCACTATGCATATGAAGAAACAGATGCAGCAGAAGGTCGGTAGCTCTGCAGAGGTTAAGTGAGACATGGCTTCCATTTGGTGCTGCGCATTTCCGTTTCTGGGCTAAGTAATCTTACACTACACTACACTACACTACACTACACTACACTAAGTAGTGTCTCAGCTTCTTGGTGTGGTGAGGACTGTGGAAATGAACCCATGGCCTGGCCCTCAGGAAGTGCTCAGTAAATAGCCCTGGGACAGTTCCTTTGTGCTTGAGGAACAGAGAGAGCCCCTGAGGTGAGGGTTCCTGGTCATGACAGCGGCTGTCCCATAGAACAGACCTTGCGGATGAGCCCAGGCTCTCCGTAATGATATGGGGTGAAGACTTGAGATTTTGAACCTTCCAGTCATTTGCTTGGCGATATCGAACAAGTCACTCTTATTTCTTCTTTCTGTGGTGTTCCCCTATAAAGATCATGATACTTGACCTTATTGTGTCTACTTCCTGGCGTCTTCTGGAAGATGAATAACGAAATGAGTGTCTCTGGAACCAGAGAGTCTTGGAGAAACTCATCAATAAAAACCCTCAGATGAGTGGTATATCTCACGTACCACAGTAGTATTAAGCCAAGGATACTGGGACTGGAGGCTAGAATTCTGCTTTTAGAATTCAAATTGTTCTTGTTATAGTCAACTCTTAATTTCTATGTGCTAACTGGGAAAAATTATAGCATGAATAAAAGAAGCCAGCTGGTGTTGATTCTAAAACTTGTGGAAGGCATAAGAGACTATATTTTAAATCTCATTATCTCTCACCTGATCGCTTTCTTCAAACCCATGAAGCTCCAGGATGATTCAAAGGCTCAGAGCCCCAGAAGAGAGTCAGCGCACTGAATAATCCACAAACAAGACAACACTTATCACTGTAGTAGCCATTAGCTTAGCCATTTATTAACTGGGCGTGGGGATGAACTCTTCTCCTGTAGTAGCTCATTTCATCCTTACTGTAAGGGCTCTGAAGGAGGGAGGTGTCTTCATCTATCCCCCTGTCTTTTCTTATTTGAATCTCAGGTACAGAAGCTGGAGTGAATCATACTTCTCCAATTCATTGTACATTGTCATCGCCAGTCTGTGCAAGACCCTTTCTTATGTTGGCTAATTAATTTGCTTGTTCCTTTTTACCCATGTGCGCTATATTAATTCACCACTCCCCCCATAAATAACCGATCTATCTGTTCAATGTCTTTTCCTTTGTATATATTCTTAGGAAATCTATATTTTGGCTTTGTGTATGTGTGTTTTAAGTTTATATAGAATGACATCATGTTACATTTCACTGTCCCTAACTAAAACTGTTCTCACTGAAGCACTATATATATATTTTTTTAAGATTTTATTTATTTATTTGACAGACAGAGATCACAAGTAGGCAGAGAGGAAGGCAGAGAGAGCAGGAAGCAGGCTCCCCACCAAGCAGAGAGCCCGATGTAGGGCTCGATCCCAGGACCCTGGGACCATGACCTGAGCCGAAGGCAGAGGCTTTAACCCACTGAGCCACCCAGGTGCCCCTGAAGCACTATATTTTTAAGCCCCATCCATGTTGCTATGGGTTTCTTTAATCTATTGCTTCCAGTTGTGGCCTAGTAGGTCATGGTGCGCGCCCACCGTGGTTACACATTCTCTTTTCCAGCCATGGCGAGCCAGGCTGTGTTGGTGTCAGACTCCCTACTGCCACAAGCAAAGGAACTTTGTGTCCCCATATGCCTTCCTTGTGGGCTGTGTGAGGATTGCTTTGGGGTATATAGTGAAGAATAGAATTGCTCCTTCATAGGACATGGAATGTGAATATGCCTGAGTAGGGCCAGGGGTAGGTGCTGTTATTTTCCCCATTTTACAGGTGAGGACACTGAGGCTTTGAGAGTTTTGGTAACTTACCAGAGTCACACAGACAGTAATTAGCATGGCTGGGATTCATATTGAGAACTTCTTGCCCCCAAAACTCTACTGTTCTTTTTTCCCCCCTAAGAGAGAATACGTGCAAGCAGGAGGGTGTGGGGGCGAGGTTGCACAGAGGGTGGAAGAATCCCAGGCCAACTCTCTACTGAGCACAGAGCCTGACTCAGGGCTTGATCCCACGACCCTGAGATCATGACCTGAGCCAAAATCAAGAGTCGGACCCTCAACCGACTGAACCACACAGGTGCCCCCCCCGAAACTCTACTCTTAACGGTTATGCCATCATTATTCTCCGAGTATTCGGGACTTGAGGACATTTTACAAAAACATAAAGGTAAATCCCATTATAGTGTGTATGTTCTTAGAACGTAGGAATCCAGGTGGACTGATCTTTTTCTGAAGCCTCTACTTCCCTGTCCCATAGCTGCATAGTAACTGCTTTCCTCTGGTTTTCATATTCCGTGGGGCTGCAGCGCTAAAAGCCGCGTTGGTCATCCAGAACTGGTACCGCGGTTACAGTGCTCGGTTGAAGGCCAGACAACGCTATGCCCTCACCATCTTCCAGTCCATCGAATATGCTGATGAACAAGGCCAATTGCAGGTCTGTTTTGCCCGGTCATCTCTTCTTCCGGTAAAATGCTTCTCTTCACCCGTCACAAGTGAGAAAAGGAAAGTCTGGGTCCATTTTAAGCTGAGGAACCTTGGTGAAAACTTTAGTAGAGGGTGACATTGTCTCGGAAGTGGCTGAGGAGAGAGAGTAGGATTTGGGAAGAGGATGGTATTTTTCATTTCTGAAGTTTACATTTTGAAGGGGGCTGCCAGATGTCTCGTTAACTAATAAAAAATATTATTCTGTTCTTGGGCACCTGTCCCAGGAGGAAGTAAAGTTGTTTCTTTATGAAGGGAAAAATATCTGAAGGAGTTAAAATATGAAAGCATTTCCTGAGAGCAAACTGGTGAGAATTCTAGAAGAAAATATAGATGGGTGAGGAAGGCCTTTTTCAAGCTTGCAAAAATGGTGTAATAAATCGAGCTTTAATGCTTCCTAGTGGAAAAGAAGTCCCTTTTAGCCATTAAGGGGTGGGAGGCTATGTGACATCCTGTGCCTCTGAGGAGGTGCTGCCCACCAGCTAAGGGAGGACGCAAGGGAGGAGGGAGGCAGGCAGAGGCTGGGAGAGGGCGCCAACAGTATTTACCACAGTGGCTATTTGGGGATCATTCACTGACTAATGTATTTTTATTTTGTCCAGCTATCCAACTTCTTTTCCTTCATGTTGGAAAACTACACACAAATACACGAAAAAGACCCAGGTAAGTAAAACGCTTAGTCTTTTGAAAAGCAGTCATTAAATATTGAATTATCCTCATCAAGGGATATGAAGTCTGAAGATGGGAGGACACTGAGAAATTAAAAAGATGCCCACCTGTCTTGTCTTCGTGACACCAAACGTGAAATCAGTTCAGGTGGCTTTTTTCTCTGATTGTTATTTATTAAATTTGACTAATTTCGTCACTTTCACAAAGCTGAATTAGATGTCATTCAATGTTAATTTGTTGAACACCTCTGAACCACAACCTGTTGATGTACCATAGCAGCTTTAGTAAAGAGGATCGTGTTTTTTATCCCCAGAATTTTCATACCGAGAGATCAAAATATCTTGAGTATCTCGTGAAACAAATCTGGGGGGACATGGTAGATTGAACACGGTTCTCTGTTTTCGGCAGAGCTAGCGGTCTCTCTGTCTATCATTTATTCCATCATTCTGAAATGACTAAGTAAATCATCTCACAGACAGACAATGTAGGCATGGTTCAAAATGATTTTGAAATTATAGTTATTCCCAAGGCATACGTTTCTCCTGCAAAATCAAGATGACTGTTATTATCTTCAAGGTAGATGCTAGGCTTAAAAACTTATTTTTCTTAAATTTGGGCCAACCATTTTTTGTTCTAATTGAAAGTATATGGCACCTAAGAACTCCTTTGAAATCATCCAGCGAGCACCCTTCACAGTGGCAAAGGAATGGTGTTTTAATGGCATGCTTGGAGCTGAGCGCATATGTATGAAACTAATTAAAGCATTTAATGATCTGTAGAAGCTTTCTAAATGGTAGAATAGCCAAACCTGAGGAGTGGGGAGTGGGAGGAAGTGGGGATTTTGCCATTTTCTTTCTTTTAGATAATTGCAATTTGAAAATAGTTGTTTGTGCTTCGTGTTCTTTGGCAAAATAGTTCTGAGAGGAAATATAATGATGATGAAATGAAGCAGCACTCTTTTTGCTAATGACCTAATATTTCGATCTGGGCTGTGTGCATCAGAATCACTTATGGAGATTCATAGTCCACAGATGGCTGGGTTCCAGCCCAGAGACATTTACTCAGGCTCTGTATTTTAAAGAATCTGCATGTCAAAAAATTCCGTAGGTGATTTAAAAATATTAAAAAATTTTATCCAAGAAGGGGACGGTGATTTAATCTTCTTATGTAAACTTTTCTTCAAGTATAACATACATCAAAGCACACAAATTGTAAGTACAGGACTCAATAATTTTCTTGAAGTAAGCATGCCCTTGTAACCCACACCCAAAACGAGAAAGAAAATGTTACAAATTTACCAAAACATATCCATTTTATTGTTTATGGACATTTGGACTGTTTTTAGTTTGTGTAATTTGAATGGTACTGTTATGCACCTTCTTGTACATGTCCTTTTTGGTGAACATATATATCTTTTTTTTGCTATATTCTCATTTCCGGTTATCTATTGCTGCATGGCAAATCACCCCCAAATTCAGTGGCTTAAAAACAACAGCCATTTTATTGCTCGTGGTTCTGTGGATTGGGCATTTGAACTGGTCTCAGTGGGGATGGCTTGTCTTAGTTCCATTTGGTGTCATTTGGGCTCACTCAACCTGGCTGGGCGGGGTAGGGAGGCCTAGATGCTTCTACTTACCTGTCTGGGACTGGTGTTGGCTATGAACTTGGATATCTCAGTTCTCCTCATGTAGCCTCTCTGTCCAGCAGGATATCCCAGACTTCTTTACATGGTAGCTGGATCCCAAGAGAACAAAGGCAGAAGCTACAAGGCCTCTTAGGGCCTATTCTCTGGAACTCACATAAAATTGGTTCTGCCATATTTTTGGGGTCAAAGCAAGTTACAAGGGCAACCACAGATTCACAAGGGTTAGGGAAGCTCCATCTCTTGTGTTGTATTGTAAAGGGACGTGGATACAAAGGGACTTGATTCCCTGGGGTCGTTGTTACAAAGATTATAATAAAGAGGTACCACGATCCCGGAGTGGAAGTTTGGGGTACAAGGCATGCGCGTGTTCAGTTTCATTAGATACTGACAAACCTTCTTACAAAATTGTTGTACCAAGTTATACTCCCACTGGTGGGTGAGAGTTCCAGTGTTCTCTATCCTCTTCAACACTTAGAGCTGTCAACCCTTTTCATTTTAGCCATTCTGCCCGGTGTGTAGTAGTATCCCATTTCTGCTTGAGTTTGTTTTTCCCTGGTGAGCGCTGAAGTTGGTCACCTTTTTGTTTGTGCGGCAGCCCTGTGAACATCCTGTTTAGTGAAGGGCCTATTCCGGTCTCCTGCCATCCTCTTACTTGGTTAGCTGCTCTCTTCTTACCAGTTTTTAAGAGTGCTCTAAGTATTCTACATATGAGAATATGAGTTTTTGTTAGATAAACATATTGCAAATATCTTCTCTTAGTCTTTGGCTTTTACCTCCCTGATCTTTAAATGCTGTCTTTTGATGATAACAGACATTCTTGATTTTAATGTAGTACAATTTTTTTCCTTTTATGGTTAGTACTTTCTGCATCTTGTTTGAGAAATCCTTGCCTGATAGGAGTGTGTGTATGTGTGTGTGTGTGTGTGTGTGCGCGCGCACATGCGCGCGCCCAAAAATAAATACAGGAGAAACCTGTAAGATAAACCAGAAACTAATGACCTTGTTTACCTACAGGGGATGTGTGGATAGGTGGGAAGAGGGGACAAAGAAAGAATGGGAGAATGGAGTTGGGCAGAGGGCTGGGGGTGGATAACACTCCTCTGAATGTACCTTTTTGTTTTGACTTTTAGAACCATGATAATGTTTCCCATCCATTAAAAAAAATTATTACAAACAGGAAAAGCATGTGCGTGTATATTTCCGAAATAGAATACATACAGTGACAAATGAATTTAACTGTATTACAAATAACAGAATCATCTGATGTGTTTCAGGAAGAAACACACTAACCTAAGTAACATTGGAAAACAGGGCTTTGCCTATAATGAGCCTAGATGATGCTTCATTTATATTTTATCCTGCGCGGGGTTTGTTTGAGCTTCTGTGGTATCTAGGTTGATATTTTCCATCAGGTATAGGAAGTTTTTACCCATTAATTATTTAAAATATCTTTCAAGTCTAAATATCTTTTTCTTTGTGAATCCCTGCTTTTAAACTTAGAAGGCTTTGAAATATTTAAAATGTGGATCGCTGTGCCTGGATTTCTAGATTTTTTTATGGTTTGACTTTTAAAAATTTCAACACTTCATAAATTTGGGATTTTTTATATTAAACCAGAAAAGGAAGTCTTGATGCCTCGTCATTAAAAACAGTTAAAGAACACAGCTAAAAAGAAAATGTCCAAGTAGTTAACCAGTTTTTCCCACCATGTTTATGTATTGTGGGATTATGTATTTATTATGAAAAGATAATGTATCTTTTCACATGGATTGTAGTGTCTCCTTTATCATGTATTCATTTAAAAATATGTATTAGGGCCTATTTCTAGGCTTCTATTCTCTTACATATCTATCTATTATAGAGTCCTAGAATCTTACTGATTTGATTGTTGTGTGTAACAGAAAAATTAGTTTATAGGTTACTTCTGTAGGTGGATTTTGTTTCATATTTTTTTCCAGCTTTACCGAAATATAGTTGACATATAACATTGTTGAAGTTCAAGGTATACAGTGCGGTGATTTCATATATGTATATATTAGGAAATGGTTACCACAACAAGTTTGGTTAACACAACCATCACCTCATAGTTACAAGTCCTTTAGGTGTGGTGAGCACTTTAAAATTGTACTCTCTTAGCAACTTTGGAGCATACAATTAGCGTAGTGTTGACTAGGGTCACCGCGCTGTACATTGCCGTAGGTCGCTTTCTGACGGCCTTCCTTGGTGGGAACGTTCCACACAACCATCACCCAGTTTGGCAGAAGCGCCAGGACCCCTAAACATGGTATATTTTGGGACCAGAAGGTCACTTAACATTTCTAGATTTCAGAGCTGGACTCATGGTTTTAACTCTGAGGCCCAGGGTTAGTCCAGACAACCTGAGTTCCATAAGAGGAAGGGGACCTGGCAACCATTCATTTCTGTGCACTTCTACTCTGTTGCTGAAACCAGTTCACAGGAGTTAATGGGGGGATTCCACACATCCATCACATAAGATAGAAAGCCAAAGCTACTGTACATGTTTAAACAGAGGCTGGTGGAAGTGGGGAGTGGGATGGAGTGGGTGCAACTGTTATTTTGACAATTCTTTCTGCTTCATATATCAGCCAAAATGTCCTATCAGACCCAGGTATTTTATATTTTTTTGTGCCTATCATCAGTAGATTATTTTCGCCATGATATCTCTCCAGTGATTATTGGTAGTATTTAACAAGCCTTTGATTTATATCTGTTTGTATTGTGCTACTATTGAACAATAGCATGAATGAACTTATTATTATTGCTAATATTTTTTAAATGTTTGCCATGTGCCATGTCTTTTAAGTGCTTTAAATATTTCATTTAGTCTTCATGACAAACCACTGATATTAGTATTGTTATCATCCCCTTTTGCTGGATGAGAATATGGAGACTTAGAAGGTGACCTCTCAGGGTTATTCATCTCAGCAATAGTAAAGCTGGGATTCAAACCTCTGTAGTATTGAATTCTCCTATCAGTTCTGGGAGTTTCTTTACCAGTTTTCTTGCATGTGGATATTTAATCACACTGGCCACAAGTAACTTTATTTTTGCATCTTTCTACCCAGTCATCACTGCCCTTATTTCAGCTCTGTGTTTTGTGGCGTTGGCTAGAAATGGCAGAACAATGAGAAAATGAAGCAGTGAAATTAGGCATCCGGTCTTGTTAATGCTCTTAATGGAAAAACCATTCTTGTTGATTTAAATTTTTAGAATTCTGTTACAGAGGTAAGCTTTCATTCCTGGTTTTCTGAGTTTTTCAATAATCAGGAACACGTGTTGAATTTTATGAAATGCCATTTTGCCATTTATTGAGTTTGTTCTATGGATCCTCCTAGTTTTAATCCAGATTCATAACTGAGAAATGAAATAACTATAAAATGCAGTTCAGTTGGTGTTTTTCTTTTCCCAGCCATATCTGAGCTTGTTTTCAAAATGACACGTGGGCGGTAGAGGCAGAAAGTATGTGTGTATGTGTGTGTGTTTTAATTATGGGTTTTAACATTTTCCCTGTCCAGATTTTGAGTTTGAACTGGGTAAAAGAAAAGATTATATGGGGGTAGTTTTGAGATATTTTCTTTAGAACAACTTGTAAAGATATCATTTGGTTATAATTCAAGATTTCATTATATTTAATTAGTTTAGATTCATGTTGACAGAATTATAAGTGAAACAGGTAAAGACTCATTCCAATTACACGTTGCACAGATCTTTACATATTGCTGGCATTCATTAAATTATTCTTACTAGTTATAATAGTTGAGTTGCAACCCATAGTACTTGCGTTCGACTTGGTACAGCTTTTGATTGTTTTCGTACATGACTCACATTAGCTACCCATATTAGGAAAAGAATCTATGTTATTTTTTTTTAATGTGGCTAAAAGTCAGCAGAAGGATTATGATTTTGATGTTTACTGATATTTCATATTGAGTACTTCTGCCTAAGAAATGGCTTAGGGAAATGGTGCTTTTTCATATATTTATCATAGAAGTTACAAGAAATGAAGGTCAACATATGTATGGAAAGAAGAGCCAGACTAAGCTTTTTTGTGTTTGTTTTACAGAAGAAAAACACTATTTTAATTTTGTTCTTAAAAAAACAAGACTGCATTTTAATGACTGGAACTGATGGATTTGACTTGAGGTATGAGCTGATGAGAAAGGGAGAGCGGACAGAGCATGGGTGAAGGCAGTGATCGAGAAAAGAAAATCATGTCATGCTTGTACAACCTCACACAGTCGGGATTACTCAACAAGTCAATTATAAGATGATACAGTGAGACTGGTGGGGTTGCTTTTGTCTTTCTTTGTTGTTATTGTTTTTTTCCTAAGAGGAGCCCAATATTTGAGTGTGTACAGCCAGGAAGATGTATCTCGAAGAATGGAATGGTATGATTATTAAGATAGTTACATAGAATACTTAGGCTTTACTGCTTGCACAATGGAATCTGAGATAAAATTTACCAAGCTGCTCTGTATGTCTAGTTTTCAAACATAAAATGGAATAATTAAGTGATTCTCAAATCTCAAACCAAATCCAAATGGGAAAAATACACTGTGCTGGACCACACTGAAGACAAACCTTATTATTCCTAAATTTAACTTCTTTTTTTTTTTTTTTAAGATTTTTATTTATTTATTTATTTGACAGAGAGAGATCACAAGTAGACAGAGAGGCAGGCAGAGAGAGAGAGAGAGGGAAGCAGGCTCCCTGCCGAGCAGAGAGCCCGATGCGGGACTCGATCCCAGAACCCTGAGATCATGACCTGAGCCAAAGGCAGCGGCTCAACCCACTGAGCCACCCAGGCACCCCCTAAATTTAACTTCTTATCAAACATCATCAACCACCACCACAGAAGTGTTAGGGTGGGCCCACAATAATTTAGAAAGCATTTTAAATTACTAAATATTATGACTTATTTTAGAAAGTTTTTTTTTTTAAGTTTAGTCCTTAACTGTAATCTCTCAGCATAACTGGATCCTGAAAAAAAAAAGTATTCTCTCTACATCTGCTAACATCACACTTTCCAAACATGTCTACTCTAAATCTTCAAAAAGATAGAAACTGCTTGCAGAAAACTTCTGATTCCCATTGGCTTGATAGCAGTTTAGTGTTAATGAGTTGAAGAATACATCACCATCGTCTGTATCCGTTATCTGTTCATGAAATAATACCGCGTATTAAGCAACCACAATAGCTCAATGGCACGTAATAAACATTTCTTTTTGCCCACAAGTCTACAGGTTGTCCGAGTGCCCCTGCTGACCTTGGCAGGCTCGATCTGACAGTTTCTCTCAGCGCTTGGCGAGAGTTTGGTCATGTATTTGGAGGTCTGCTGGCTAATGGCTTATCCGGAATGGCCTTGGCTGGGGTGACTCAGTTTGGTTCCCCGTAGTCTTGGAGCTTTCATTATGTTAGCCTGGGCTTTGTGGTAGTAGCATGGTTTCAAAAGAGAGAGCATGGAAGCATACCAGGCTTTCTGAGGTCTTGACTTGGCAATGGTTCGTAACACTTCTACCACATTCTTTAGACTAACACAGGTCATGAACCCCACAACCCAGATCTGAAGCCTGGGGAAATCGATTTTTTTTTAAGATTATTTATTTATTTGACAGAGAGAGAGAGATGACAAGTAGGCAGAGAGGTGGGCAGGGGGTGGGGGAAGCAGGCTCCCCGCTGAGCAGAAAGCCTGATGCGGGGCTCGATCCCAGGACCCTGAGATCATGACCTGAGCGGAAAGCAGAGGCCTTAACACACTGAGCCACCCAGGCGCCCCAGGGAAATAGGTTCTTGATGAGAGTAGCTGCAAATCCCATTAAAAAGATTCAGGCTAGAAGTTGGGATAGACAATCAAGGTCACTTTTGCAATCAGTCTGCCACATCCCCTTTCATCTTTTTCCAACCAAATTAGCCAGATTTCTGTTCTTGGGTTGACTGTCTTATAGGCAGCCTAGTAAGAAAGGGATCCTGGATCTCAGCACCCACTGAAATGGGCAATGCAGGTGACCTGTTACATACAAATGTCTCTCTCAGAGAGAGGCCCTATGGGTATTTCTGCCTGTGGTTCATCATCTAACTTGATCTGCTTTGTTATCAAGAACAAAAAGGAAATCATGTCAGAAAATCTGTTTTTATGTGAAGAGAGAAATCTATTACAGCTAAGTAAAATTTGAAGTGTTTAACAGGAAAAAACTGAATGTTGCAGTTTGATTTTCTGTAGATCTTGAATAGCACAGATGTTTGAATCCAGTGCCATACATTGTTATGTTTTCAGCCTGATTTGTAAAAATCTGAGCTCTAAGCGTAGACAAAAAATGTAGAGGTAGAGTTTCAGACCATCAGAGTACCTTGATTGCCCAGTTTTCCCTGTGTTTTTCCTCCTCCTCCCCACCAATGAGCTCACTGCTTTGGTACAATGTCCACTTGGGAAGGGATGAGGGTGATTCCTGTGAATGTACCTAATAATCCGAGAACAAATCCTTCTTCATGATTGTATGTGGGATAGCTTGGTATTCATAACGTGTAGCACCATGCCTTATGTGGGCTCGATATTCAAAAAGTTATTTATTGAATTTAAGTATGGGAATGTTGACCCCCCCCCCTTTCTGTCTTCTGTTTTCCAGAATTACTTGCTCGACTTTTTGGTGGAACCCTCCAGGACTCCAAGGACAGGCAGGAGTATGTCTCCTTCGTAGAGGTCCCAGACTCCTATAATGGTCCTCGGCTGCAATTTCCTCTCACTTTTACTGATATTGATTTACTTGTTGAGGCCTTCAGGCAACAACAGGCAAGTGGATGCAGATACTGCCCTGATTGTACATAGCATGTGCTCAGTGACTATCTGGTGAATGAATGAATGAAAATACTATAGCTGAAATGCATTCCCTTGGGGGAAAAGTTTCATAGTAAGTGAGAGCTACCCTCTGCTTTGCTTAACCTATTAAATAGAAGTCTCCTCAGATGCACAGAAACTTCTGTCTATCTATAGGCTTGCAGCATTTCCTTTTTCTTTTTCTGAGATGTAATTCACATCTCATAAAATTCATCATTTTCAAGAGAGTGATTTAAGGGTGGGGGGATGGGTGAAATGGGTGAAAGAGAGTGGGAGATCCAGGCTTCCAGTTACAGAACGGGTAAGTCATCAGGATAAAAGCTACAGCATAGGGAATATAGCCGATAGTACTATAATAGAGTTCTATAGTGACAGATGGGAGCTGGACTTGCGTGAACATAGCATAACGTATAGAGTTATTGAATCTGTGTTGGACCCCTCAAACTAATGCAACACTGTGTGTCAACAATTCTCTGATGAAAAATAAATAAATAAGAATGTGTACAATTCAGTGGTTTTTAGTACATTCACTAAATTGTGCAACCATCACCAGTATCTAATTCTGAAAACACTTTCACCACCCCAGAAAGAAATTCCATACTCATTACCATTCCCTCCTCCCTCACCCCTGGCAACTATGATTCTACTTTGTTTCTATGGATTTGTCTGTTTTGGACATTTCAGACAAATGGAATTATATAATATGTAGCCTCTTGTGTCTGGCTTTTTCAATTAGCATAATGTTTTTAGGGTACATTCATGCCATAGCATGTTTCATTGTTGCTTTATTGCTCTGACTAATATTCTGTTATATGGATATACCACATTTTGTTTATTTATTTGTCAGTAGATGGACATTTGGATTTTTTTTCTCTTTTGGGTATCATGAACAATGGTTTTATGAACATTCACTTACAGGTTTTGGTATGAATGTGACCTCAGTTCTCTTGAGTATATACACCTAGGAATGAAACTGCTGGGTCGTATGGTGACTCTGTTTAACTTTTTGAGGAAGGGCTAAACTGTTTTCCACAGTGGTGTGCCGCTTTACCTTCCCACTGGCAATGCGTGAGGGTTCTAATTTTATCACATTTTTTTGCCAACACTTCTTGGTTGCTTTTGTTTATTCTATTTAATTGTGTTTTTATTATAGCCATCCTAGTTGCATGTGAACTGATACCTCATATTGGTTTTGACTTGCATTTCCCTAATGACTGAAGATGTTGAACATCTTTCCATGTTTACTAGGCATTTATACACATTCTTTGGAGAAAGGTCTATTCAGATGCTTTGCCCATTTTTGAAATCAGGTTATTTGTTTTTATATTATTGAGTTTATATATTCTTGATTCAAATCTCTTACCAGATATTTGATTTTTTTAAAAATCTTTATTTATTTGAGAGAGAGAGGACGTGGGGGGGAGAGGGACAGAAGGAGAGGGTGAGAGAGAGAGACAGAATCTCAAGCAGACCCACAGCTGAGCAAAGAGCCCCACGTGGGGTTCCATCCCACAACCCTGAGATCATGATCTGAGCTGAAACCAAGAGTTGGATGCTTAATCAACTGAGTCACCCAGGCACCCCTCATATATATGATCTGAAATTTTTTTCGTTCTGTAGGTCATTTTGTCACTTTCTTGATAACATCCTTTGAGTAACAAAATTTCTAATTTTGATGAAGTTCAATGTATCTATTTTTTCCTTTGGTTGCTTATGCTTTTGTGTTATATCTAAGAATCCATTGCCAAATCCAAGGTCATGAAGATTTACCCCTTATGTTTCCTTTTAAGAATTTTATAGTTTTAGCTCTTACATTTATTTCCATGAACTATTTTCAGTTATTTTCTGTATATGGTATGAGGTAGGGGTCTAAATTTATTCTTTGCATGTGGATATGCGGTTGTTCTAGTACCTTCTGTTGAAGCGTTCATTCTTACCCCATTGAATGGTCTTGATACCCTTGTTGAAAACTAATAAATCACAGATGTATTGATTTATGTCTGGACTCCCAATTCTATTCATTTGTGTATGTGTTTCTCCTTATGCTAATACCACATTGTCTTAATTACTATAGCTTTATAGTTAAGTTTTGAAATCAGGAAGTATGAATCCTTCAATTAATTAATTAATTAATTAATCCTTATTTTTGAATACTGTTTTGGCATTTGGGTTCCCTTTCCATGAATTTGAGGATTGACATCTCCATTTCTGTTAAAAAAACAAACAAACAAAAAAAACAAAAACCTTTTGTTCGGGATTGCATTGACTCTGTAGATCACTTTGGACAGTATTACCATCTTGACAATATTGTTTTCCAATTCATAAACACAGGATGACTTTCCATTTATTTAGGTCTTCTTTGATTTCTTTTAGCAATGTTTTCTAATTTTCAGTGCACAATTCTTTTACTATTTTAAATTATTCCTTGGTATTTTATCCTCTTGATTACTATTGTAAATGGGATTGCTTTCTTAATTCCCTTCTGAATTATTTAGTGTTGGTGTATAAAAGGACACTGGATTTTTGTGGGCTGAGTTTTTACTCTGCCACTTTGCTTTGCTAAGTTCATTTATTAGCTCTAGTAGTAGTGTGTGTGTGTATTTTGAGACGATCTATATACAGGATCATGTCATCTGGGAATAGAGATAGTTTTACTTTTTCCTTTTTGATTTAGATGACTTTTATTTCTTTTTCTTGCCTAGTTGCTCTGGCTAGAACTTCCACTACAATGTTGAATAGCAGTAGTGAGGGCAAGCATGCTTGTCTTGTTCTTGATCTTAGTGGGAAAGCTTTCAATCTTTCACCATTGAGTTTGACATTAGTTGTGGGTATTTCGTAAATGCCGTTCATCATGTTGAGGAAGTCTTCTCCCATTCTTAGTTTTCTGAGTGGCTTTGTCATGTAAAGATGTTAGATGTTGTCAAATACTTTTTCTCCACCAATTGAGATGATCCTGTGTTTTTTTCCTTCATTCTATTAATGCATATATTACACTGATTAATTTTTTGTGTGTGTTGAACCATCTTGTATTCCTGCAATAAATTCCACTGGGTCATGGTCTATGCTTCTTTTAAAATTTTATTGGATTTTGTTTGCTGGTATTTTGTTGAATTTTTTTTTTTTTTCATTTTATTCATAAGGGATATTGATATATATGTTCTTGTGGTGTCTTTGTCTGACTTTGGTATCAGAGTAATATTGGCCTTATAAAATGAGTTAGGAATTGTTTCCTCCTCTTCAATTTTTTTGGAAGAGTTTAAGAAGGATTGGTGTTAATTCTTTAAATGTTCAGTAGAGTTCACCAGTGAAGCTCCCCGTCTTGGACTTTTTCTTGTTAGGAGGTTTTTGACTACTGATTCAATCTCTACTTGTCCTAGATCTGTTCAGATTTTCTATTTCATCTTGAATCAGTTTTGGGAATTTGTATGTTTCCAGGAACTTGTCCATTTTATCTAAGTTATCTAATTTGTTAGTGTGTAATTAGTCATAGAATTCTCTTAAAATTCTTTTTATTTCTTTAAGGTTGGTGGTAATGCCCCCACTTTTAGTTCTGATTATAGTTATTTACATTTTTTCTTTGTTTTTCTTTGTCAGTCTAGTTAAAGGTTTGTCAATTTTGTTAATATTTTCAAAGAACACACTTTGAGTTTTGTTGAGCCTCTCTATTATTTTTCTGTTGTCTATTTCATTTATCCAAACTCTAACCTTTTTTTTTTTTTTTTTCCCCTCTGCTAGCTTTTGGCTTAGTTTGTTCTTTTTCTAGTTCCTTCATGTCAAGTTAGGTTTTCACTTGAGATCTTCTTCATCTTCTTCTTTTTTTTTTTTTTAAGATTTTATTTATTTATTTAACAGGGAGAGAGATCACAAGTAGGCAGAGAGGCAGGTGGGTAGGGGGGGAGCAGGCACCCCACCTAGCAGAGAGCCTGATGCGGGGCTTGATCCCAGGACCCTGAGATCATGACCTGAGCTGAAGGCAGAGACTCAACCCACTGAGCCACCCAGGCACCCCAGAGATCTTTCTTTTTTTTAATGTAGGCATTTGTAATTATATATTTCTCTCTGAGCATTGCTTTTGATGCCTCCCATATATTTTGGTATGTAACATTTTCATTTTTGTTCATCTCAAAGTAGTTTCTAATTTCCTCTGTGATTTCTTCTTTGACCTATTGATTGTTTGCGTATGTTGTTTAATTTCTACATATTTGTGACTTTTTCAGTTTTCCTTCTGTTATTGATTTCAAGCTTCATTCCATTGTGATCAGAGAAGAAACTTTTCATGATTCCAATCTTTTTAAATTTATTAAGGCTTGTTTTGGGGCCTAATATCCGGTCTATCCTGGAGAATGTTCCATGTGCTCTTGTTAAAAAAATGTGTAGCCTGATGTTATTGGGTGGAGTGTTCTATAGATGTATGCTTGGTCTAGTTGTTTGTGAGGTCGCTGAAATCTCTGTTCTTTTAGCTTGTGTTCAGTTAGTATTTGATGGAGATTTCCTTGAACACCAGGAGCCCCAGAGAAAGAATGAGAGAAAGAACATGGTAGAGAGACAGAAGCAAAGAAAAGCAAAGACAAACCTAGTCTTTGCAGATAGGCTCTGTGTTGGTGCAATTCTTCACTGCCTAGCTATGCTGTTTACAAACCTATTTTATCCTTTACTCTCTGCTTGCATTAAGGATTTTTAAGTTACCTTTTTCTTGATTCAGCCTTTGCTTGGTTGCTCTGAACTTTGTTTTCCAAAGTTTTGTGAGAGTTGATTTTGACAGTTTGTTTGTTTGTTTGTTTGTTTTTTGCTTGAGTTTTCAGTGCTTCTGTGGAGGGATAGGACCTATGAGCTACCTATTCCATTATTTTCTCTGACATTACGCCAAAACCCTCATTCTCAGGTTTGGACCCTAAGGGCATACCCTAGGAGTAAGAGTGAACTATAAGTATAATGTCTCTGTGGGGACTGAAGCAAAGCTTGGAATCATCTAATTCCTGAAATTAAATTGAGGTTATTCTAGATAGCTGGAGTTCCTAGCCACCTGCCAAATGAAAAAGTAAATCCTCTCTAGAAAGAAATTGGCCTCAAATTATTTCTTCAAATTGTCATATACAAGGTCCAGAACTCAATACCATATTAACCAGGCATAGGAAGATGCAAGATTCATGACAGAAAACTGAGGCAAACAACAAACAACAGAAACAGACTGATATTATCAAACTCAGAGTTTAAGATAAATATGGTAAATATGTTCAAAGAGAGAAAAGATATGACAAAAATCCAAGGAGTACAACAGAAAAGATCAGTAATTTTGACTTTATATAAAAGAGAAAAATGTGTTGTTAAGGGAAACCTAGAAGGTTCAACATAGAGTTACAGTGTGCTCCCATCTATAAAAAAAATTATTATATAAATTTTTTGATTTTTAAAAACTAAGACAAAATTCACATAACATAAAATAGAACATTTTAACCATTTAAAAGTGTACAGTTGAACAGTTTTTAGTATATTCAAAATGTTGTGCAATGAACACCACTATCTAATTCCAGAAGATTTCATCACCCCAAAACAAAACCCTGTACATCAAGCAGTCACTCCCCATTGCCCCTTCTCCCTAGCCCCTGGCAACCACTAATTTGCCTTTTCTTTCTATAAATTTGCCTAATTTGGACATATCATATAAATAGAATCATATAATATGTGACATTTTATGTCTGCCTTCACTTGGCAAAATGTATTTAAGATTCATCCATGTTTTAGCATATCTCAGTATTTCATTACTACTTTTAGTTGAATAGCATTTCTTTGTAGGAATATACTCTATATACTTATAGAATAGAATATATATATGAATATTACATATTCATATGTGGTTATATTAATTTTATATGCTTGCAAATGCATAGAATATGTCTCAGAAAGATAATGAAGGCACTCTTAACAGTGATTGTTTCTGGGGACAGGGACTGAGGTCTGGGGAAGAAAGAAAATTGCTTTTCAGTTATAATCCTTTTTACTATTTAACTTTTTATTTCAACTTAAAAAATGAGATTTTTCTTCATTTAAAAACTCGTTATTTGATATGAAGAAATATCCTTTAAAAGTAGTATATTCCTCCCTCATTGCCTTTAAAAGAATATGAATATTTTATTTCAGTTGCTATTTACTCTGACCAGCTCTATAAATGTAGAAACCAACTTAACTTTTTTGAGTATTTAATATTGCAACTGTAGGGGTGCCTGGGTGGCTCAGTGGGTTAAAGCCTCTGCCTTCGGTTCGGGTCATGATTCCAGGATCCTGGAATCAAGCCCCGCGTCGCGCTCTCTGCTCGGCAAGGGGCCTGCTTCCCTTCCTTTCTCTCTGCCTGCCTCTCTGCCGGCTTGTGATCTCTGTCTGTCGAATAAATAAATAAAATCTTAATAAAATAAAATATTGCAACTGTAAACACAATTATAATGCTATTGAAAGACAGCATTGTAATCAAATACTGACATTAGCCACATCATTTTAGCCTATTAATAAAGGAACCAGGGCACCCTGCTGGCTCAGTCAGTGGAGCGTGCAACTCTTGATCTCGGGATTGAGTTTGAGCCCCATGCTGGATGTAGAGATTACTTAAAAAAATAATAATAATAAAGTGAAAGAAAAGGAAAGAAAAAGGACTGAGAAAAACCATTTTATTTATTTTTTTTT